TTTGGGATAAGGGTGTTACTACTAAACCAACCACGAGCGGTCCCATGGTCCGACGTTTTCATCAGGTTAAGTAACAAAGAAGAAAAACGAAGAAGTATGGAGGTAACAACGTAGATAAATAGAGAAACTTGACGAAAATTTTCAGACGACGGCCACTAAATTAACACTTGACACGGAACAATAAAACACTTGATCTCGGCAAAGGAATTACTTGGAACCGTGTTTCAGATCCTTGGTACTGTTTGTCCTTTAACAATATTAATTAGCCAAACCAATCTTTGCTTTCATCGCTGACCCAACCTCGCACGTCCTGTACTGGCGTTTAATCATGTCGACCAATATTTTGTAATCTCAAGAACGGAAAGGGTATCTAATTCTGGCCGACATTTTTTCAAGTCACCAACCTAGGGTTGCGGAACGTTCTACAACACACACGAACCATGAATTTGGTGTGTTAACGAGTGAATCCGTATAGGTGCCATTAACTTCACATTCAGTGATAACCAATTCCACAGGATATCGATTAAATTGTACACACATTAAACAGACTGTTGTAAACGTGAATGCTGTAGAAGACCAAAACGCGGTCGTCGTACTACCTTTGCGGAGTTGTGAAGGCGAACTCAGTTAAACTTTAAAACATCTTAACTCTGATTCCTCTTCCCATTCCATAAAATTTACAACCTAGACTTACTATTTCTTTTACATGTAGAAGTGTATGTGAAGAGGTGGCCATTACAGATTTTTTACAACGGTCATTGTACACCCTTGATCCTAAGACATAAATACAAACTAAAAGTATCCACTGTCATGAAATGACGTTAACCGGTGGCTCTATATCCACAGGAGAACTGTTGAAAAAAAAAAGGACTAACCAGAAGCGACTAACGTCACGACAAAACAAAGACTTGTAGTATACCACACTCGACCTACCTCCTTTGGGGAGGAAGGTGTTAGACGGCGGGTTCTTGAGGAAAAGACGTACAAGGGGTGAGGAACTCTTCCGGAAACATTTATCCTGTTAGTTCAAGATTAAATAAAGTGGGTTAAATCACCTTTGTGACATCCGTTAGGGAACCCTTTGACAGAGTTCAAGTAGAAAGACGGACAGTGGTACCGCTGCCGCTCGGAAGTCGGGACCGGATTTAGTCTTTCGTCAACTTCTCCACCTCCCAAAAACTCCCGAGTCTACATTGAGGAGAAAAGTGACGGAGTATCGGTTACTGCGTTTTACTAAATTAAAAATTCTTTTTATTGATTTAACTATCTCCAGAGTATTGAGTCTCGCCTCGGGTCCCACCTTAGTTTTAATTTGTTTCGTTGTGTGATTTATTAAAAACGACGTGTCATTTTATTTACCGACCAACCACCTACTTGAAGAGGGTCGTGTAATTCCTTAGTGCTATTGCTAAGTCGGATAAATATAAAGTAGTCTGTGGTCGTACGAGACGACCCAAAGAGAACATGTTAGTGTACAAGGGTAAGAAATGACCGGTCGGTCCACTTTCACTTATATTGGACAATCGTCAAGTCACTTATAGTCGTGGTTATACGTTCCGGCTGACACTCAGTAATACCATTACCCATCAAGTGGAAGAGCAAACACTTCCTTTGCGGGGATGAGTGATCAGAGGGGGACACGATAATGTCACTTCTCTCGAAATCGACAGTGAGGTGCTGGAGAGTACATTCGTGAGCTGTCCAGACGGTCGAACTCGACGTAACTTTAATCTATCTATCGGATGCTCGGATTAATTTTCACCAATAGAATGAGGAGGTGAGAGGGACGGAGTGTCAGATCACAACAAAGATATTGGAAGGAGAGACGAAACCCTTAGGTAAGCTGAACTTCGAGGTTGACTCGAAAGACTCCGCCAAAATTATTAGTCTCGTTATAAGGGAATTAAATTTTTAATATCTAATTGGTATTCGGTTCGTTCTCCGTCCCAAAAAGAGGAAGACACCGGAGAGGACCCCTGCCTTTTTACCCAAATCGGATAATTGAGGCCAGATGTTTTGGGGACTAAACTTGGTCGGTGTACCCATAAACTATAAAAAGTCTTACCCTAACGACCGACGAATTAAAACGAGGGGATTAGTAATGTGCACGAAGGGTCTAAAAGACTTCAGGGACACACACACCCACACACACACACCACCACACACACACACACACACACCACACACACACACCACACCCCTGAGCCGTTTTAGAGTCAGTAACTGTGATATTATTTTGAATAGTGCGGAGAAAACTACAAATGAATACGACATAAGGTTTCTTTGTAGTTTTATAACTTAAGGTAAACTAAAACAACAAGCTCACCTTCTTTTATACTTACCTCCTAACCAACCACCCACGATACTCATACGGGATCGGACTGTAAAACTGTACGGAATGACTTATTCAACAGGAAAAATGAGAGCTTACGTTGTGTCTGAACGTCATGGGACTTTCTCAAGGCAGTCGGGGTCATTAGAAAAAAAAATGGAAAATCACTCTGGTGTCTGAAATCTTTCTTTTCTACCAACATGACTTAATTCCTACAGTACCACTTTACTATGGTCGATAAGTTCTGTAAGGTACCTAGATATGTTTAACGACATATTTTGTGGAGGGAGTCTTTTTACATTAAAAGTTCAAAGGAACGGGGTTTTTTGATGAAAATTGGGTTCTAATGTTAGTGTTGATCGGAAGGAAAAAAAAGTAAAGTTTGGTACCCTAAGTACAAATTGTCCAATAAGTCCCCCTTTTATCTAACGGGAAAGACCTGGTTCAGGTATTAACTAAAGGATATAGTTAGTCGTAAAGTCACAAATAATAAACAAAATTTTGGGCCTTTCAGATTACCTATTAAATCAAAAAATTTACAAAAAGTCAGGGGTAACATGAGTACTTTGTACGACTCAAATTTCTATAACCCAGGTTTACTGTTGAACAATGGTTTNTTTAAAGGTCACCTATTATGCAAAATCCACTTTTTCATGTATTTTATATGTAAACATGTGTCCCCTCTGTGTAAAGAGATTCTGAAAGGTTCAGGAAAAAAGACCCCCTCTCTTTTTGTCCTGATCCATTTTTTCCTGAACCTTTCAGAATCTCTTTACACAGAGGGGACACATGTTTACATATAAAATACATGAAAAAGTGGATTTTGCATAATAGGTGACCTTTAAAAAGGTGAAACAGGCAACTTTTTCTCCTGAAAAAAATCCCACATCAAGTATTTCAATGGGAATTAAAAGGAGCTGTGGCAGTATGAGATACACAAGAGTCCAATTTCCTGTGAAGCTGATTTTAGGAGTAAAAAACTGAAAAGGTGATGGGGGGCCGGTCTGCTGCTTGATCTCAAGGATTAGTAAAGGCTCATGATTTGGAATTAGCTCCAAAACCACATGACTGACTTTTCTTGCACAAAGCTAGCAGTCAAATCAGATGGCTTATCATAACACTGCTCTCTATTGTGAGGCCAAGAGTCAGAGGGATGCATTTCTTCTCTCCTCCACAAGTGTGTCTCCCACAGCATGTTGGATTTACACCATCATACAATGTCCCCCATCATTTCTCATCATAATAAATACAGTCGACTACATTCTGCTAAGACTGACAGAGCTCTGGTGTTAGACATTCACCATGTTCATTATTTTCCTCCCACTGCCAATGTCAATGCATGACAAAGAGTTTCTTACAGCAATGTTTGGTGTTCATTTGATACATTGTTCATATTTGCTCTGTGTTCACAAAATGCATCTCATTCAGAGCTTCCCTTTCACATTACTCTTTCCATTTCAGACCTCATTATGTTACACAATGGACAAGAGTGGACTGGGACATGTACTTTAGCCCCGGCTCCATAGTGCTTGGTAAACTAGCCTAGTAGCGACTTCATTTGGACAATACACTTTATAATAAGAACGCTTGACATTCAAACTGGACTGCTTGATTAATGAAAAAATGTGCTTCTACAAAAAGCAATTTCCAGTCATATGAGAACTTTTTCAGCACTCAAGCTGTTATGTTCTCAAGAGTGGAGAACACTCCCTTTCCGGATTTAAAGCACTTCATCTCAAACAAATGTATGCAATGCCTAAAATGAACATTTCCTTTAGGTTTCACAAATAATGTAATACAATCCAAGCTATAGCAGAAGATGAGGTTTTGAGTACGATACTCTATCACAGCAATTAGCGCTGGCAGCCAACAGCCCCAGAAAAGGCAGAGTCTCCACTCTGGCTGTGTGCTGTCACTTTACTACCAGCCATGCTCCTGCTTCTCACCCCCGTCTCCAGTCAACTGCAGCCTCAGGTTACAAATAGCAAGCAGACAACCACCGAGATTTCCAGAGACAAATACAATATAATTTACCTGAAAAGAGCAACGTTGTTGTGCTTACATTTCTCAAAAGATCATTCATTTAAATAAATTGATGACATACAGTTTTTCCATTTACTTCTCAGGGCTGTTTACACACTCTCTATTCTTTAGCCTCTGTCTCAGTAGAGATCTTTAAGGGGCAGCTAAAGACTCACCTTTTCCGACAGGATTTTGGGGCTTCGGAGGAGGTGAGTTTGTAGCTGTTTTTCATTGCCCTGCTTATCCTATCTTTTAATTGCGTGTTTTATGCCTTTTTATTCTACATGGATATATGTTGGTATCGTCGTATGTACAGGGTAGACAGACATAAGGGTAAAATGCCAACTGCCCTTCCGGCCGGTGGAATTCTATACCTGCCCCACATTGGTAACCATTGGCCCGGAGCATTCTCGCACCAACAGAAATCACTTATAATGAAGAAAATGGAACACATTTGTTGCAATAGTAATTATCACTACTACATTAATACTTTACACACTTTGAATCATCAGTTCTTCTCATTTCCCTCAATCTTCAATATTGTTTATTAAAAACATTATATTGTGTCTTTTTAAAAAATTCTGCTATTATTATGAGTATATGCATAAAATAATTGTATAATGCTCTTCCTGCTTCTGTCCATTAGGACAGTTAGAAGTAATGCTATGTAGTAAATATATTAGAAACCTTCATCTCCTAAACTGCTGGGCACATTTCCCTATAGCCAATACCTTTATATTTCTACTCCTTCACTTACTTGTCAGCATAGTCGGCATGCATGTACAGACACGACCGAGAGAAGACCTTGTTTACATGGCATCATATTGAGAGGTGCGTGAACGCGTCATAACAACCAGGAATAAGCCTGTCCCTCGACAAAAGCAATTGATTTCTCCCGAGGTTTGGGAAAAAGCTGGATAAAATCTGTGAAACAGACTGTTGATAAATCACGTTGTTCGCCGATATCTCCACATTCTACCGCTACTTTTAAATTCGAATCATAATCCTAATGACAGCTGATAAAAGGGTTTTAGGACCGTCACTCCGCACACTAGAAAGCCAACCCATCCGACAAGCTGGCCGAAACTTTCTCTCATTCTTCTTCTCATGCCCCCCGTCCCTCCTTCTTTACTCCTCGGTGACTTCTTATTTGAAGATTTTTTTCCCCGGCCGCTTGCCGCTTTACCGCGGTACTAAAAACATAATGGCGAATGTTAGGTGGCCGATAGCTGATACTGAAGAGCGCCCCCTCACGGAGCCTGCTCGCGCGCGCTCCGCAGCAACAGCGTTTGCTTTCACACCAAAAACGACAACCCGACTCACAAAGCTATGTTGTAGCGTTGATAAACGAACCAATTTAACTAAATTCAGGTCAAAATACAATACCACAGGGACAATTCCTTTTTACAGCTATATTATATTCCCGGGTGCCTAATTAGTGCTTCCGGCAGCGGCCATTATAATTCAGCCCTCTACATTGGCATTGTCGGTACTGTATGTAAAGCCACTTTGACATCTGGTTGAAAGGGTGCTATATAAATAAGTTGTATACTTACTTAAGTGGATGGATTGTATTATGATTAAGGAATTGCGGCGTGTATGCAGAATAAATAATCATACTTTCATATTAAATAAGATAACAGTTCCTACGGAGTACCCGCGCCAAGCCACCTCCACCCAGTCTCCTCCAGAGCTTTATACACTGTTTTTGAAGGCTCCCTCTGCCCAGTCAATTCAAACTTGAGGAAACCTGCCTCAGGAGAGGTGCCACAGCCTTCATCTCTGCCCTCTTCTCCAGCCACGTCCTCTCCTTCCCACTCTGGCGAGTGTGGAGAGATTCTCTTGCCCGCCCTGCTGAGCCTGGCAGGACGGGTCGTTCCGATGCAGCACAAGGAAGGCAGGCAAGCCCCCTTCGCTGCTGGGCACTGCGTGGTTGAAATGAGTCTAGGTGCGCAGCCCCGGTGGGGGCCGTGTGGGGCCCTCTGGGCTCTCCTCACGCGTCCACAATCTCCACCTCTTGTCTGAAGAACCTCTCCGCTCAAACTTCTGGCCAGTGTCGGTTGATAAGGATGCGCATGGAGACACAAAACTGTCTGACTGGGTTCTCCCTCCTGGCTGCTCCCTCAAACCTCCTCGTGCCTCCTCGTTTTTCCTCCGCCTCTCCTCCTGTTGCTTCTCCTCCTGATGCCTGGAGGGGGAGTCGGCGGGGGGTGTGTCCTCTCCCTCCTGTTTGTTGGCCTTCCCCCTCCTGCTCCTGTACCTCCTCCTCTCTGCCATCAGGTTTCCAGGACTCCCGTGCCTGTGGGCTCCCTGGTCAGTGCCATGAGAATCGGGCCTCTATCCACCCTCTCCTCCACCTCCGCTCCATCCAAACTTCGCTCACCCGTCAGTCCCACGGTCTCCTCCTCTTCTGGTCCCACTCACCTATTCGACTGTCAGGCAGTTCTTCCAGTGCTCTGTGATTGGCCGCTGTCCGTGGCGCGGTGGACCCTCCCAGCCTTCTCCCCTGTCTGTCTCCTCTGCTCCTTTAATCTTATTTTACAGATGAAAAATGAACGTGAGCCCACAGCTGTAGAGCACAGTTTCCGTCTCTCTTTCCTCCACCATGTCCTACCATTTTCCTTATATCCACTGTTAGAAACAGACACAACCGGACTTTTCTCAAGCTTTTATTGAACGATCTGTTTTTCTGATGACTTACCTCAGTAAACCCCTGCAACACAAGAAACATGCATAGGTATTTTGAATCAGTGTATGATGCGCCAATTTAACTATCTTAAGAAAATCAACTAAAATAAAAACATTGTGAGATGAGATACATAAGATAGCAGAATTCAGTGGTCCCCTCCTATTTTCCAGGAACAGACAACCAACATTTAAGAGTGACGCCCCCCCTCTTACAGGAATTCTTTACAGCTTATAC